AAAAAAAAAAACTATATTTGAATTCGGCGAATACTAATAAATATACAGTTACGTACGAAAAAGATTAAATGCAATTCATAAAATTTGTTTATCATTTAAAGTAATGTCAAAATATAAAACAAAACTACTTTTATGTACTTGCAAAATTTACTTCAGATTGGCGAATTTGGCGTAAAAAATCATACTTTTAATTCACGGTTAAAAACATAACACATTTATAACATAAACTTCTTTAATGGATAGAAACAGATTTATACTTCTTATAAAATAACTTTAAAATCAATACTCAATTAAAAACTCACCTGAATTAATATATAACAAATTAGATTCGCTGCTTTTTCACATAAACTTTGCCGCCATATTGTTTTGACTTGTGCTATCCCATAATCCCATGCGGTTGCTGCCACCTGATTGGTTGAATTGTGAAGTTGAATCAACTTTTTCGAGGAGATCTGAAAGAGTTGAACAATAGTTGATCCAACTCGGATAAGTATAGCACACCTATGTTTTCGGACGAAGTTGGACGAAAAGTTGAAGTTGAGGTTGAGTTGAAGGTTGAGTTGGACGAATTTCTTTAAGTGTGATATGGCCTTAACTGGCATTAATTGAGATAATTACTCATTAACCCTTCTCTGTATAGTAATGCATATATTATGATGAACAGTTTCTCTCAAAAATTCAATTTTCAGTTTCATATTTTTCATATTTAAGGATATTTTCTAAAGAAATGTTATTCAATGAGTTCTAACTATTCAGTTACGGAATCAGGAACAAAAATTTTCTTTCTCTGAATAAGTACTTTTTCTTCCCGAGGAACTTTTAACCATCGAAATATGGGTGGTAGTTACAATCTGGGAACAAAGGTTTTAAAATTTAATGCAGAAGAAAGCTCCAAAATCTGGTTCATCGAGTAGTTTTGGTTCTTTAAAATTCATTTTATACTGTGCGCTTCTCACTGTATCTTTCTGAGCGAATCTAAAACATTTGCACCCAGCTATAAAAACTAGTTTGTCCAAAGATTATTTGTTGTAGTTAATTTACGTCGCACTAGAGTTTCACAATGGGCTATTTGCTAGGAGGTGTTGGGATGATCCGAAGACATGCCATCACAATTTTGATGCTCTTCAGTGGGGATGGCACCCCAGCTTCGTTACTTTTTATACATTAATATACTATTTATGTATTAATTTACCATTATAGTTATTACATTTTATTTAATTCATTATTAAAATGCTAAAGTATACAAATTTTTATATGATAATAAGCTACGTAAATTTATCTGAGAAATACAAATTTTCTACAAAATTGGCTTTATAGTTCATAAGAAATGAAAATGTAAGAACTTTTTTTTAACAAGAAATCTGACTGATTTTGTTCACATTCTGTATTTTGGCAATAACTGTGCGTTATGGTATTTTTATTTACATCGCACTAGAGTTGCTGTTGTTGTTGTTGTTAGTTTACGTCGCACTAGAGCTGCACAATGGGCTATTGGCGAGGGTCTGGGAAACATCCCAGAGGATGATCCGAAGACATGCCATCACAATTTTGATCCTCTGCTGAGGGGAGGGCACCCCCGCTTCGGTAGCCCGACGACCTGCGCGTGAAGTCGAGCACTTTACGGTAGCACAGTTTAACGAGGACCAATACCGCACACCCTAGGTCCCTACGCAGACTGATCCAAGTGGTCACCCACCTGCACACTGACCGCAGCCAGTGATGCTTGACTTCGGTGATCTGCTGGGAACCGTGTCTTAACGATCAGTCCACTGTGGGAACGCACGAGAGTTGCACAACGGGCTGTTGGCGACGTTCTGAGAAACATCATTGAGAATGATCCGGAGACGATATACAATCGTCAAATCCAGTTTTGCAGGGAGGACACATTCGCACATCCATTCACAGATCGTAATTTTGATCTATACCAGAGCACGATCATTCTCCGATCCTGTATATCCAGAGTTATTAACTTATTACGGAAACTTAAAGTTTGTAGCCCTGACAGATTTAGAGTGCAACAGTCACCATTTTGTGCACGGAGAGTCTTAGACAATCGGGGATCGTACTTACGACCTCTCAAACATGAGCCCAATGCCCTATCAGCCAGGTTATTTTTACAGAAACTATTTAAAAACTTTGCTTCCACTTATAGTATTTTAGAAAATTGTGTTTACAATATACTATTATTAAACCCAGGCAGGATGAGTGGAGGGGAGAGATTGGTAGAAGAGTTAACTTTTTTATAGGTGAGGCAAGTTTAAGTGCCCAAATTATTAAGCTTATTTCATTTGGAGATTTTTCTCTAATAGTTAGAATAAACTTTACCGGTGCACTAGAGTCTCACTTTGTTCACGCCAGCTCGTGATTGGACTACTATACCAACGCAGTCTCAAAATCACTTGCCAAGAAAGTTACGTATATGAATACTATGTTAAGCTAAGTTGTTGGATTTTCGTTTACCGTCTTTCATTACATCGGAAATCACTGAACGAAACTGAAATGGTTCAAAAAAGAAACTTGTAATTGAAATCGGTTTCACCGCCTTACATAGATAAAACAAAATTCATGAAACAAAGTGTTAAATAGACAACTTGAAGAATTTTACCAGGAAAACAATTAACCGGTACTTTAAAAGTCTGAAAGTTATGAAACATTTCTCACCAATTTTCTTATTTTTCTAGTGAGATACTTTTATAACCATTTAATACAGAATCTGATAAAGAAACTTTATGAGAAAGTGCAAGGGGCATTACTATGAAAATATATGGATAAAATTTTTACTGTCTTTGAAGCAGGAGGGAGAAGCACATCTCTTCTGTAAATTTAGTGAAATAACTTATTTTACTGCATAGTCGAGAACGCTTCTTAAATTTTCTTGAGTAATATTTAGTTTAAGGCATCCTATATTTTATTCGACAATTATTTCACTTAAATTTCTGCTTGATATCTAAGTTGTTCTCAGGCATTAATTTTCAATTAGTGCAAAAAATTCAGTCGCTAATTAATAGCTTGTTTTTCTTTTGATGAGAGGTTATAAGTACTTAAATCATACCTGCCAACTTTTGTTGTTCTTAAAAATTATTTTTCCTAGGGGTAGTGATATTAAAAATTAAAATTTGTAGCCAAAAATGTTTTTACATTTTGCCAGGACATAGTATCGAACGATTATCATGCATTTATAGTTATGTTTTTATTTATTTGCAGTAGAGGCTAAAATCACCAAATTAGTTTTTTTAACACATACTTTGATGGAAAAGCAAATTTTTCGACCGCTTTAATTTCTAAAGTATTCCTGAAAATCTGGAAAAGTTGAAATCTACGCGAATAATTTCATAAAGCAATGAATTTTAATCTTTTGCGTTAATAGTTTAAAAATTTTGCTTCAGATAAAAATGAACTTTTTAAAAAAAAAAACTAAGATTGCAACTATGGTCTCAAAATCAAATTTTTAAATTTGTCCAAATTTATTTTTTATCTATATATCTCACTGTATTTTGACCGTATTTGTTCTAAAACCCTTTAAAACCTAATGAAATATGGAAGTATTTCTTTCGTATATTTCATAACATAAAAATTTATTTAATTACGAATATTAAAAAAAGAAATAGAAAGGTAATTCACTCCCACTACCGTACATTACATTTAATTTTACAATTTATGTTTATGTTAATAATTAAGCAAGCAGAATATATAAAAACTTAAAAAATGGTATCCAAGAGAAATTTCTTTTTACATAGTTTAAGCATTGTCTGAGTCATACACGTAAGAAGTTAAGAGTACGAACCCAAAAAGGAAGGATTAAAATGAATTCAGAACTTTATTAATATCACAGCTTCAAAATGGCAATATAATAGAATACACATAAAAAATGGTAATAAAAAACACGAATGCAATAAATAGTTAGTGACGAACACTAATTCTTCAGGGAAAAAACATGTCCAATAATAGTTTAGGCACCATGAATCTGAAAGAGACAAAAAAATATTAAGTTTACATTGATGAGTAAAAATGCTTACAACTTAATAATGCTTGCACGAATTTTATTTTTAATTAATAACGTTTAAAAAGAGGGTAGTTAATAAAATACTTATTTTTCCAAAAAAAATTACAATATCATGTATAATGATTTGATCAAATCTATTTAAAATATTTCAAACATACGCTTTTACATGAATGTAAAATTTTAAAACCAACGTTAAATTGTCGACCAGATTCTGTTTAATAGAGTTGTTAACCAAGTTTACAACTCTCAAAGTTCAACGCCGTAGCCTTGTTAAAAAGAAGAAAAACAGTTATACCTTGTTTGTTGTTGAACCCAAACCAGAAAAAAAAGCGAACTCGTAGATCAAGCAACGGGGGAAGGCTTTCGTAGAGGATTCTTTGACTAAACCGCACTTGCGTTATACGGAGAGGTAAAAATATTACGAAAAACTCCCACGGTTAGCTAGACAGCAAAGGATATTTTTCATATTATAATAGCTTGCCGACCGGATTGTGTAGTCAAAGAGCTGATCTCACATCAGAAAGGTCCTGGGTTCGAATCCCGGACAAGTCATGGCCGTTCCTTCATTCAGCACTATCTTTACTGGGGGAACAACGTTGGCCCACTTAATATGGTGCCCAGGAAAGAGTGGCCAACAAATCTGCCCTACTCAAACCTGAATGAAATGTCAATCGGGTGGGCATTTGAGGAAAAAAAACATTTTAAATTAATAAGCGTTATTCGGAACTCCATTCAAAAGGAAAATTTACTCATATAGCGTGCACCAACAATTGAAAATTATCACCGTCAATAGCTGTTAAGATGAGTATGAAATTTATCATACAGTTTTGGTGAAATTAGAAAAAGTACTATGCAAAGGTTTACATAAAGTGCTATGAGGCTTTTAACATACGATTCAGATCTACATTGCATTCAAGGGTTTAATAAAAACTAAAGTAAAACAATTTTTAAAAAAATAGTAATCACCACCTACATTTTTTACTTAGCAAGACAATTTGAGCATTCAAAGGAAAACAATTTTGTATATAAAAAGTTAAACATACATGCTTCTGCATTAAGCATAAATTAAACTCATAAATAGGGACAGTGCTCCCTAAAAAAAAATCCCCCCTAATATTTTAGAATTCTTCAAAAGATAAGTAAAACAATGTATACATTGGGTGCTACAAACTAATATTTAGAAGTACGAAAAGTATAACATTTAAAAATCTAGCGAATCACTACTGATGAAAGTAGGACCGAAAACGAATACCCGAGATTGTCGGAGGAAATATAATTTAAAAGGATACTTTCAGCACAATCCTTAAATATTGAAATTAAGATAACACAGATAAGCTTTATTTTTAGAATATTATTAGTTTAATCTAGTACAGTGTTTCTAAGAGTCATGAATTGAGCGCACTCTTCGTAGGCATGGTATTCTGTGCTTATATCTTCAACTCTGAAAGTAGTAAAACCCAAAATAAATTCACCTTTAAACATTCTCCCCATGATCTGGTTGAGAAACCAATGAGTGCAAATTATTTAGTGCTGCGTGTTTAAATTGCTTTATTTAAACAGTTGGTTTGTATTTAAATTTAAAAATATGCTAGACATTCTCAATACCATATTAACGTACTATGCATTAAATAAGATTCTTTGTTGAAATTTAAAAAGAAAATTCTAAAATAAATTAGGTTAGCATCGGAAATTATTATACTCGAAATGTCTTAATTTTATTATCGTGAGACTATGGTGGGAAAAATTGAACTCTGGAAACCTAGTTTTACTTCTATTGTTCGTAAAGTATTCGCACCACATTTTCAAAGTGCCCTAAGTTAATGATTCCACTAACATTAAGTCAAATGAAAAGAATGAATGAAACTAGAAAAATAAAACGAGAATAATGAGTCTGAGTTCAGTTTCTTTAACACAAGTCACGAAGTATTTAGTTTCTCAAACAGCTAGTTTCGCAAATAAGCGGTAAGGGGCCAATTATGATGGGATTTTTCACAGAAATAACTATCCTAGAAAACCGGTTTTTCTGTGTTTTAAGCAAACGTTTTTAAGAAGCTTATTTAATCTCAAGCGATTTCTTAAATTACTCCAATTCTTAGAGAATATATATTTTTGGAAAGTATTAACTGCAGGTGATAATCTGTCAAAAATTAAACTTGTTTAAACTATTACTTTGCTTGATTTCAGTAATTATGTTAGCAGTACAAGAGTCCACAACATTATACATCATTTATCTCAATAATATTTTGTTTCAGTTATTAAAATAATCAGTGTCTAAATATGAAGATCAAATTTATTGTCTACTAAAGAAAATAGCTGTAGGTTCCTGATAATAGTTCTGTTGCGTGTGAAGTACATAAAATTTGTATTTTAATTTGGTTGCGGAGACAAATTTATTAAAAAATATAAGTTAGGGCAAAACAAATATGTAAACAATGGCAGCGAATTCCACCCAAATGCAAGATAACGAACACATAGGAATCTTTGTAAAAATATTTTTTAAAAAATTGAAAACAATTTTAGTAAGAGTTTTAAATGAGTTTTGGCTTTTTTATAACGCAAATACAATTAAAGTTACAGATAAGGAGATAAAAATAGTCTTAAACTAGCAATTGTACAGCCAGTTTTCTTAGTAAGTGGAAAAATAAAACATTGGGGCACATTTAATTTTAAAATTTTAGTTTAACTTAGCTTGAAATATAGAAATTTCAAATATTATTCATAAGCTAAAAACTATTTGCAAAAAAAAAACAAATCTGGTTCGGGAGTTACATTTATGTACCTTCACAAAAAAAAAAATTCATCGATTTCTTAAGAGTATTGACAAGTTTTGTTTTCAAAATATCAATAGATATAAACTAATACTTATAAAACTCGCAACGTAAGCTTGTCTCTAGCTGTCAAATGCTTTGAGGATTTAATTCCCCCCCCCCCCAAGAATTTCAATAAAGTCTTGGTGTCTTACAAGTTTGAGCATCAGGATAATTTTAAAAATATGAATAAGTAATTTACATTACATATCTCCAAAACTTTTTTTTTTTGGGGGGGGGGGGTTAATATNGGGGGGGGGGGAGAACGAAAATTTTTAATTTAGTAGAGTTATATGAAATGCTTACCATTCAAATCTACAAACAATTTATGATTTCAGTTTAATTTAGATTTTGAATTTAAATATATTTAAATCAAATAATTTTTAAGAAGCTAGAAAAATATTCTAACATAAACTTTGATTCCATAAACAAATAAGACATAACTAATCTAGTTTGTCTTAGGGTTTAAAAAATTAGAAAAAATTGATTGGTTTAAAAACTGTCGATTTCTAAACATTTTACAGAACAGAAAAAGTGCCTTGTTGAAACAAAGACCGGAAGGGTTAAACTGCTTTATGTCTTAAAAAATATTATGTACTCAAAAGAACGAGATGACAAAATGTTATAAGCAAAGAATGTAAACAAATTTGGAAAAGATGACCAATACCAAAACTCTGAATCTACTAAATAAGGTAAAACCTCCAAAAGGCTAGAGTCTGGTTAATAGCTCAATAGTTATTACTAAATTAACATTGACAAATTTAAATAGTGTGAATAGGAGAAGTTTAAGCTCATTTTAGCCTAGCGTCCTTATAAAAAGGATTTTTTTTTTTTAATTAAAAACTTCGTAGAATTGGTCCATTAGAACTTATTTTGTCGTAACACGATAACTTTCTCTACCCAAACAAATATTTATGATCTGAAGTAAAAGTAGTAAAAAAATATCCATACAAAAATGCCCTTAAAAATACTAAAAACTACATTAAGTATTATCACCCATATCATACAGGTGTTTTTCATAGTCCTCTTCGATAGCTTGGAGTTTCTATTGTGATACTTTTAATTTTGGCAAATAAAACCAATTATGTAGTTTAACTGACTTTCAAAAAAAAAAAAATACTAAGATTAATAATTGAAGTAATCAAACTCTGTACACTTTGTTGAAGAAAAAAAAATGCGGAAGTTTACTAGGAAGTAAAACAAACTGAAAGCTATTTTTGATGAAGATGCCTAGAGGATGTTTTGCTTAAAGCTTTTTAAAATTAAGTTTTGGAAGTTAATGTCTAACAAGTTTATAATATTTATGGTAATTTTAAGTTTATATAGGAAGATTGCTAGGAAACTTTTCACTACCCTTTTTACTTTGAGCACTTACTATAGTTTATTTTATTTTGGTTAAAATGAAAAATAACTTAAAATGAGCATTTAAAAATGCAAAAGAAACTAAGTTAAAGAAAATGAACATAACCAGCTTGAAAAGTGCGTTTGAAAAACGCACATAGCTCAAAGTGTACATAAAAAAACTAGGTACAATAGTAAAAAGAAAAGTATTTTGTTAAACTAATAACTCAAATTATTAACTATGTTTCTCTCAAAAAAACCTCAGAAATCAATATGAAAATTAGTCTAGTATTTTCCACTACAAATTATATTCGAAAGTCATTTTTCAAACAAAAATCTAATCAAAATTTCCATTTATTTAATTAGTATTGCAGATTTTCTTGATTGCGTAGTTCGAGCTACGTTCAAAATAAATTTCAAACTTTCACAAAACTTCTTTGCTACAACTCATGCAAATAGGAACTTAACAGCATTCTACGCCCATTAACTTCCAAGACGCTTCTTAACAGGTCAATTATAAAGATGCTTGGAATAAACAAAAACACTCCATTTGTAACAGTTTGCTTCAGACTTCAAACTATATGCTACTTATACTTCCGGCAATACCTATTTATTGGTCACTTTAAACATTTTACTGGCATAAACAGACCAATAATGACTGAAACCAAGTAGAGCGTTAAAGTTTGCGTGCGGCTTTGATGAGATGGGGCTTATGTGCGGTGAATTTATACTCGCTTGGGGCGTACACGTCTAAACAATAAATGGTGTGAAGCTCTTACTCAATCACTAATAACAGAGTTGCTTTTTACCACTGTTTTTATTATTCTCATGCTCTAATAAATAATTTATAAGGATTGCTTACATAGCACTTAAAAGTTACGGAATTTATTATTCAATATAACTTACCGCAAAACAGAAATTTGCCTTCTGAGAAAAACAGAATGCAAAAGGAATTTTCGCTATTATTTAAAATAAACAACTGTCTTAAGGCAATATAGTAATATGCATATTTTCTAAACTAACAATTTTAAGTAAAACTGCTCTTTTGTATTGTTCTCAAATAGTTTCCTAGAATGAAAATTTGGCTAATCCTTACATTGCTTCAAATTAATCAAATTGAAAAATAATCTCAAATTTGGTTTGAAAGTATAGTTTGAATATAAGAATCGTATTTTAAAAAGCGCAATTGACACTGTGTTTAGCAGATGAAATTGTGTTATAAAACGTAAGGAGAAAAAAAATCTATACACAAAGATTTGTGGTGGTACAGTGATTATAAATGAGATTGTAAGAAGTATTTAAAAGTTAATTTTTTCACATCAATGCAAATGGATAGTTCTTTCGTACTCGACCAACTGATAATTTTTTTTTAAAAAGTAAAAATAATCGTCAGCGGGCAACATTTAGATATGCGACCTAAGAAATTATTCAAATTTATAACATTAATTGTTTATATAATTAGAATTAATAAGTAATAAACAGAATTTACTTGATGTTTAAATATCAATGTTTAAACGCTTTACTAATAAAATGTGATTTTTTGTAAAATGGATTTTATTATTCAAAAATCTTGCTTTCCAAAAAACGCATCTGCTGCCTCACTTTTCTTAACAGCTTAAATATTACCCCTCATGTAGTCTAGTCACTAATTTTATTAGTTATTAAAGCAATAAAATCTGATGCTAGGATTGAAACTTCATTAGATAGGTATTCTAATGAAAATCAAAAATACCAAAAAGGTAATATTTGCACGGAATGGCTCAAATCTGCTTGAAAAAGTAAACTGCAATGTTTAAAAATATTTTAGACTTATCAATCTGAATCTGACAATCGGCAATTCAGAGAAGAAAAATATTTTAAAAGCGATTTCTTTTCAGAAAAGTTAGTTCATGGAAGAAATTTGAACTTATCTGTTGCTTAGTAACAAGAGAAAATTACATGAAATTTCTTTAAATACAGCACAGTACTTTCTACTAAGAAGCTCATTTATAAAGATAGAAATTATTTACCTGAACTATTTGATGACTAGCCTTCAAAACTCCACTATAGTTTTTCACTGCACAACAGCTCCCTCGATATCTTGATTTTCTCGAGAGTTTAAAAAGTCCTCTTGATCTTCAATTAGATCTTCCAAAACATCCAATTTTACTCTCATGATATCACGCTCACCTTTGACATTTCTCAGAACCAACTGTTCTTGCTCAAGCTGTGATCTCAAAGCAGCCAATTCATTCTTCATACTAGGTATATCCGGCAGCTCTTCTCTAAAATCATCCAAAGCTGTTGAGATTCTTTCTGTAGCTGTAAGTATTTTATCCAGTTTCTCATTTGTAACAACTAAACTAGATTTAAAGGCATCGTTTTCCAATTGAGATTTATATGTAATTGCACGAAGTTTATTCATAATATTATTCAAAGGCACTTCGGGTTCAAGTGTACAATCGTAGAAAAACTCATTATGCAATAGCACTTTAGTGAATAATTGGCTTAACCGTTCAGATGTTTTGACCATGTCCAAACATTCTTTTTTATTCTTATTCATCTCAAAATCAATTTCATTCAAGTTTTTGTTGCTCTCTTTGATAATTTTAAGATCCTCTGTACTTAAATTGCTCTTGTTGGCTACTTTCAACATTTTCTCATTGTTCAACTTTGCGAATTTATTTTTCTTAGCTTTCAATGCTTTTAACTTCTTAACCGAAATTGCCAGGGTTTTCATTGTTATTTTATCTCTTTCATCCAAATTGTATAAATCCACTATTTCTTTTTCGTTCTCTTCTCTCCACCTTTGCAATTCATTACGATATTCCTGGAGTTTATTTTTCTGTGAAATCTGGTTCACTATGATGTTTATAGCACTGTTGTGAATGCATCTTACTGCATTGCTAACCTGTTCACAGGTAGGATCTGGAACACCGGTCAGCAAAGTGGGAAGATCTGGAACTTGTGATGTAGCTGGTCTGGACTCGCGCTTATATTCCAACATGCTCGTCAAAGGATTCATAACCAGCCTTACACATCCAAAACAAAAATAGCAGATCCTCCCAGGGATTCCAAGCAATCGCTGTAACATGTTATCCATTGTGTTCCAAATTGAAGATACAATCGTTCGAGTCATAGCTACTGGTGAAAAAATTCCAAGTAACCGACTGACCTGGAAAAAATTAAAATATATCAGAATTAAAAATAAATCCAATTATGCATTACATTTTTTAAAACTTAAAAATTTACCATACGAAAGGAATTTCTAACTTTTGTCTTCTGATCAAAGGCAAAGTCTTAGTCTTATTGGTGAATTCATATCTTTAAACCCTTACTTCTAACGATTAAAAGTATTTAAAAAGCAAGACTAAGGCAGGTTAATTTAGTGCCCAAGTGTCTCGCTTATATAAATGAAATACAAAGTTTAATGGCACAATATTTGGATGCGGCAGTTGCAGAGAAAAACTGAGCAATATGCTCACTGTAATAAAACTTAAATTTTTATGAAACTTATTTTGTCCTACTTAATTGTGCAATTCAAAAACTGTCATAGCATTAAATACATTAAACGCGCATTACAATCAAAGCAAAAGTACTCTGAAAATGTTTGAAGTGAAAATACCAGCAGAATTAAAGTAACTAAATCCATTAAGAAAAAAAAATAGTTCAAAATAAACTAATAAATGGTGCAAGAGACAATGTCAGACTCCGTATCTACCTCAAACGGATACGCCTACAAAAATTGAACGTAGAATTAATCCTCAAACTCAAAAACTGGCAATGTATCCAACTTTACATCATACACTATAGAGATCATACAGTTTTTAAATTAGCTTAAAAAGTTTGAGATGTAAATAAGTACGAAAAAGAAATATTAAGGGGCATAAACTTTGGATAGCTCCCTTGATCAAACTATGGGACTATATTTCGCAGATTGCGGCTCCTCTCTATATTTTGGAGGTTAGAAATTTGAACCAGTTAAAAAAATGCTTATTCAGAAAAAGTAAGTTTTTGAGCTCAAAATATTTTCTGATCTTGATTTGCATATTTAAGGTCACCCCCTCAAACTATGAAGATTTGAACCCTGAAGATCCGGTCATAAGATCAAGAGTTATTCAGGGTGATCTTATTTTTTTAGCACACTGTACATAGCTTTTAAAAATTATTTGAGTAAACTTTTTAAAGCATGGTAAAGTTAATTGTTTTGTTGTAAGAAAATCTTGTTATTCCACATACATAAATTTAAAATTTGAGTATATGGAATAAACTTAGAAGCTTAGTTTAAAATTTTTAGCTTTAAGTGCTTTAAAATTTAGTGGATTTAATGAAATTCCACTATATTTTAAATGTTGCATTGTTTTTGGCTAAAAAGTTCAATTTTGAGCACAAGTTATTAACAAAATGAAAACACCAGACTAAAAACTTGAACAAAAATCAAATTTAAAGTTTACTTAAATGTTAGATCAAGGATTTTAAAAAGATTGAAAATAAATGTTGAAGTTTCTGTTCTCTTGGATGATTTTGCACATAGTTTTTTTTTTTTTTTTTTAAAAAATGAAGAAAAGACAGTTGCTTTGCTGAACGAAGAATCAATAAAATCAGAAATCCTGCATACCGAATAACTTAATTCCCAAAGTGTAAAGTTGAAAAATTCCTAACATTAAATATTTAAAGATGTTATAATTGTTGATATTTCACAAAATTCTAGTAGTTTATCTTTTTAAACATATTCTATTAATATTTTTTAATTACGTATTTCAAGATTCGAACAAACAGATGGAACTAAAAGGGGTGAAAAGTTCACCTAAACCATATCTTTTTTTTCCTTTTATGTTTCAAGGATGAATTTAAAGAACTTTTCCTTATTGTTTCTGACAGCGTCTAATTTAAAAGTTAGCATTCCGTTATTTGTTTACCAGTTCGGTTCAATTTGTTTCAAGGTTGTAATAAAATTAACTTCAAGCGGACATTTGCCTTGCGATAAACAAGTTTAAACTTATATTCCAGAAACTTAGAGAACCTGCTGTCACTTACTAATCTCACACCAGCAATGAATACAAACCTAGCGACTATCACGTGCTGCTGCAAGATTGACAGCAAACTTGTTAAGTTGGTTGACCTGCACGTTTATAACTGATAATAGATTTCCTCAGCATAGCTACATAAAAATTTTAAAATAGTTACCGACTTAAAAATGTAGACAAGCTATTAAATTCACGAATTTCTTCAAATTTCGCAAAATCTCTTTACGAAGCTTTGAGAGATTTTATTTTTAGTTTAAAAATATCAAATACGACGCCATTAATCTTTCACTACGAAGCTTGTCCTTAGCAATCACAGTATTTGAGCATAATTTATAGTTTAAGGAAACTGTTCTTACAAGTTGTTCCGCTTTAGGGTTCCGTGTAAGTTAACTGGGTAGAAAGTAAAGACTTGTTCTTTCTATTTAAGATTTTTGAAGCTTTTCAATATAATTATATCTAATCAATTTTTCATAATTTAATATTTAGGTTATTTAAGTAAAATGCCAGTGGAATGAAAATGGCAAAATTGAAAAAATATTTAGTTATTCTAAACCCCATGGCGAACTACATGGCTTACTATCTACGTACGCCTAGCTTAAAACCATGCATTGAATAAATTATGAAAAGATGCCCATGTATAAAATTGTATAAATATTTCCCATTTGACTTATTAAATTCATAAATCAGGAAATATTTTCCTGATTGCCATTCAATGTTTGCGACAATTCTTTTTTCACTTTCATTTCCCTAAAAACCCACAATTTGCAATTTTATTCAGCTTATGCATACGCGAAAAACTCAGAACTGGGCTAGATGGGAACTCCAGCACTATGTTCAATTGCGTGATTTAAAATCAAAAATTTTTAAAACTATTGATAAAACTATGACAACATTAATGGTAAAAAATATTTAAAAAATTGGGAGTAATCAAAACAGTGTATTTGTGAGTATATTCCCTGTTGCCAATGAACTATATATAACACTATTGGAGTCCCGCTAAAAAAAAAGGCAATCATTCAGGGTTCCAAAACTAAAAAAAAAGAACATGGAAACCGCTGGTTAATTGACATAGAGTTGGAATTTTGCGGCAGAAGTAAATTTTGATTTTTAATCTAGGTGAGCTGATCAAACTTTCTTGAGACAAAGAAAAGGTTACTAGGACATATGGTTTCGGGGCCCAGGAAAATAGCAAAACTATGCACAGCAGTAACATTACAACCAATACCAACTTCTCTTATACTGGGCATTAATTGTAATTTAAAAGATTTGATGAATAGAAAGGGCAGATATATCTTCTTGACTCCATGTTTATCTGAAAATAATGAACAGCCGAAGGAAGTAAGCTCGCGAGTTAAGATCTGAGTCCAGAATTTACTTCAGAAGAAAACACCTCAAAATGTACTTCAAGAATATAAAGTACTATTCCCATAGAGTTTACAGTATTTGCATTTTACTATCCACATTTATATTTTTATCAAACGATAAGTGAGGAAATTTTTGAACTAAAATCTTAAGCATGAATAGATTAAAACTTTACTAATCAATCATAATTGTCATAACATAAATAGTACCAGAAAACACCGAAGTGTCACTATTACACTAAAATCCAAGTGTTTTAATTATTTTTTACAAGCTTCTTTTATGATCCAAACTTCTTTGTTTGGAATTGAAAAACTAATTAGGATATGATTAGTAATTTAGTTTGAAATTTTTAAGTTCATAAAGTTATTTTAATTGCAAAAATTTGACTTAAAATAAAGACTATTTAAAACAACTTTTAATAAAAGTTCCGACCATTTTCAACCAATTTCGGATGTACCACTTTTCCAATTTCTTGGTGAATACCAAAGTTTACCGATTAACCGCTTTCTTGGTTATTCCGAGTTAACTTTGGTTTGTATATATTGCAAATATTTATTATGCCAAGAAAACTCTGGAGTAGAATTCGTCAGCACGTTTTGTTTTATCAAGTCTTGACTCAGCCGGAAGCAAAAAAATAGTCTGGTGTGATTGTAAGTTTGCAAAGTTTTGTTTGGGAGTTTCTGTTGGATTGTGGGATTGCATGATTGTAAATGAAATGTTTTTTACACAAAATATTAAAATTTCAGCGAAGCTTCCGTATCATATTTTGTTTTAGTTCCTTGTATTTATTAATAAAACAAAAAGTAATTTAAATTTTTTTTTAAAAAGAAAATTGGTAAAGGAAGCGGTTAAATGTAAACTACGCTGATTCTAAGGAAATCGAAAATCTGTACACGTAAACTGAGACGCATGTTAAATACATTGTGCTTGTGTATACTATCTTTCAGTATTTGGAACAGATGATTTAATTTAAGTAACAAGCGTTCAAGTGCAGTTTAAATTTATGACACTTATTTTCTTAACGTAGATTAAAAGTTTAGAATTTACACAGAATACTAAAAACCATTTTTAAAAAAAAAGTTTCATCTAATTAAAACTTAATAAAAATTTAATTCAATATAACACTCCAGCCAGTTGTCAGGAAAGGGGTCAAGGATGTTAAGACTACAATTTTAAGACAGACATGTTGGTGGTAATGAGATCCATCTCGCACACATGCCGCCTTTACTCCCGAGATTAGCTGGTATCCATGGCCCAACCAACTATGAACAAATTGGTAATCGAGCAACCAATTGAAAGCAGGGTGGGTTTTCAACTGACTAGAAAACTTTCATAGAAAATCTGTCGTTCTTAAAGACAGCTTAATGCCTTAAAAACTGTACTATCACATATTAAGCATTTGAATACGTTAACTTTCAAACTGTTAAACCTTTCAGATAAGTTTATTGTGTCAAAGTTTGTCGTTTGGATATCAGATTCTGATTATCTGATCTGAATAATCATTTGAATCGAAAAAAAGATTTTTATACAACTTTTAAGATAAATGCTAAATCTTCGGCAGCTCTCATCACCTCTATATATTTACATTATCGAAAAACTAAGTTATCTGCTATCATTTTAGTTTTATTATATGAACCGAGTACATAAAAATACAATGAATCTAGAAAAATTTTGAAGAATATGATAACAATGTATTCTTAAAAAATAGGTAGGACTTATTAGAATCGCCACAAGCAATTTCAAGAGTTATTGAAAATTACTTTTTCTTTGCGAAATATAATTCAAT